CAGAAAAGCCTATAAAAGGTTATTTTTTTGAGTCTGGGGATGCTAACAAATTTTTTCCATATGACTTAATGTAATTGTTTCTTTGCTTTATGCCATTTCCATTTAGGAAAATTTTTAAAGAAATGCTCTACTTTCCAATAGTGAGGATAGCAGAGTATAGAGAGCTGGGGAATTTTACACAGAAATCTTTCCTGGAATATAATACTCTGAACATTCTGCAGATCACTCTCAGTTCTAATGTCTGTTCTTAGAAATATACATGGATACCAACACAGAAGACTGCAGTCCTTCCATTCCTCCATATAATCTAGGACTTCTATTCCAACATCAAGATAAACCACAGAAAATATTACTTTGGACTACATAGTATTGCCTGTTTTCTCAGAGCCCTTCTTTGGCATTACAAACTAGACAGAGAAAAAGATGCATAAAGAAACAAATAGAAAGTAAACAATTGAAAAATTTGAAAACCAAAATGAAAACTCACTGGGTGAGCTCAATGGATTAGATACGAGAGAAAAGGTTCAGTGGGCTCAAGAGAAATCAATGGAAATTAATCACTCTAAGCAATAGGAGAAAACAGACTGGGGAAGGAGGGAGAAGTGGGAGTCCAAGGACCCTCTGGGATAAAAAGAAAAGATCTACCACTCCCATTACTAGAGTCCTGAAAGGGAGGAAAAAGCGTGGGGCTGAAAAAATACTTGAAGACTATCTAAAATATACATCAACAGATCCAAAAAGCTAAGCAAATGCCCAACAGGATAAACCCCCAAAATTTCATGCCAGGCTCTATCATAATCAAACTCCAAACTCTATCCATATACAATAAAAAAACCACTTGAAAAACAGCTTGACAGAAAAGTGTATTACAGATAGAAAAACAATGGGTCAAATGGCAGACTTCTCATCTGAAACTGAGAACATGAAGGAAATGACATGCTTTTCAAGTACTAGGAAGAGAACTGCTGACCCCAAATACTAGATCCCACAAAAATATCCCTACAGAATGAAGGAGGCGTAATTTTTAAGTAAAGGAAAACAAAAACATTTGTTACCTAGAAGACCTTCCCCATAAGACTACAGATGATCCGACTTAGAATAGTTTTATGATTTTTTTTGACCTTATGATGACCATATGGCTGTAAAAGTGATATGCATTCCGCAGAAACCATACTTCAAAATCTGATTTTGATTTTTGTCTCAGACTAGCAATATGCTATGTGATACTCTCTTGTGTGATGTGAGGGGCAGCACATCTCCCAGGCACCTGGGCAATCACAAGGATAAACTACTGATGCTCCACAACATACTATGTTGCCATCACTTTTGGATATTGTTTTGTGTTTTCACATCCCATCATGTCTACAAAACACCCATCTGTATCTCCCACTTCTGGTGTGAAAACAAAGGCAATTATTCTTGTGAACAAACTCAAGATAATTACCTAGCATGGAAGGCAGCAAGCTAATAATGGCCATCACATGTGAGTTAGGACTTTTTTAATCAACAATCAACCATATTAATGGTCAGTATTGGATAAATCTACTGTCATACTTAAGAAAAGAGATGGGCCAATTGATGACATGGAGAAATTACCTGTCACGTGGATATCAGACAATACAGAAGGGCATACTGCTTAGCCACTGACAATCCAGGCTAAGGCAAGAAGTCTTTTTGATATACTAAAAGAGCATGCTGATGATCCTCTACATACACAAATGTTTATAAAAAGTCGTATAAAAAAAAAGTTGTATAAGTGATTCCAATGCTTCATAAGCACCATAATTTTCATAACGTGAAGGCCAGCAGTGAGAAACAAAGTGCCAATACTGAAGGTACTGAAGCTTTTAAGGAAGAGCTACATAGGGTAATTGTGGATGAGAAATATTTGCCAGAACAAATATTTAATGTCAATAAAGGAAGCTTGTTCTGGAAGTGTATGCTGGGGTATTCATACATCCATCAAGAGTCCAAGACAGTGTCAGGATTTGAAGCACTGAAAGACCATATAATACTGCTCTTGAGTGGAAATGTGGCAGGTGACTGAATCTAGCCAAATGCTCAAAGTTTTAGAAAGATTTTCACATTCTAAATGCTATCCAGAGTAGATCTACAGAATGAGAAGTCATGTAGCAATGCATGATGGAAGAAAGTTTTGAAGATATATGTGAACACATTCAAAGGCTTTAGCAAAGACTTGCTGTTGATAAACCAGTAAGTAACAAGATATTAGTGCTTGGGAAACAGCCAGAATTGGACATTAGTGTTGAGGATATTCTTGAGCTTGTTGCATTGAAGCTGAAAGCATTCTATTAAGGAGCTAATCAAACTAGAAGAGCAAAAAAATAAAGAAGCTGACAGAGAATAAGTTGCACATGAAGTACCAAGAAAGGTCACAGCAAACAAACTAACAGAGGAATCTGCTACTATCAGCAGTGGCATTTAGATGTTAGAAGAAACACACGTTAGTCACAAGACATTCACAAGAGCTGATGGGCAGATACAGGATGCTTGCTACAGAAAAATATATAATAAGAAAAAACAAAATATATAGAAAGAAAAAACAAACTGCACAAAACTTGGTACCTTCCTAAAGAACACTACATGGCTAAACCATCAACAAGTGTTGATGCCCTAGGGCCTTCTACCAGCTATTCCTGATCCTCATCATAATAAACTGATGATCCTATCATTGTAGCATCCCCATTATCCAGCAATTAATTTTAGTTCACCATTTCAAACATTCTTTAGGCTTGGCTGTGTATGTTAATGATAAGTACCCACACAATCATAGTTTTTCACTTTCAGAATAGTATTCAATAAATTACATGAGATATTCAACACTTTATTATAAAATAGGTTTTGTGTCAGATGACTCTGCCCAACTGTAAACTAATGTAAGTGTTCTGAGTATGCTTAACATAGGCTAGGCTAAACCATGATGTTCAGTAGGTTAGGTGTACTAAATGCATTTTTGACCACGATATGTTCAATTTACAATGTTAGTTTATCGACGCATAACTCCATCATAAGTCAAGGAAGAGCTGTATGAGTTTGCAAAAAAACTGTTAACAGAAAAAAAAATCTTGAAATTTCAAACAAAGAACAGAATGGAAAAAGTAAACACTACACTTCTCACAGGTTTTGTAAAAATTGCTTGATAGTTATAACAAAAATGTCAACCAATATGATGCTCAGTGTATAAAGAAGAAATACTTAACACAATTATTAAAGAGTGGGGAATGTGAAAGGATCCAATGAAAGGAAGGCTTCTACATATCAAAGTGCTGATACCATAGGCTGTGATAAATTATAGATGTATAAAGCAATACCTAAAATAATCAGTAAAATACAAAGAGATATACTCAAAAACATCACAGATATATCAAATGGAATTCTAAAAATTAAAGTAACCCACAGGAAGGCAAAATAAAAAATAACAAACAAACCCCCCAAAACAATAGAGGAAAAATAAACAGGGGACAAAGAAAAAACAAATCATAAACAGGCAAACCTAACACATCAATAATTATTTTAAACTCAAATGATCTAAATATAATAATTTTAAAAGAAATCAGCAAAATGGGGATGCCTGGGTATCTCAGCAGTTGGGCACCTGCCTTTGGCCCAGGGCATCATCCTGGAGTCCTGGGATTGAGTCCCACATTGGGCTCCCTGCATGAAGCCTGCTTTTCTCTCTCTCTCTCTGTGTCTCCCATGAATAAATGAATAAAATATTTAAAAAAAAAAAAAAGAAAGAAAGAAAAAAAGAAAGAAAAGAAAAAAATCAGCCAAATGGCTAAAAACAAAGCACAACCAAAAATATAAACCAAGAAATGCAAAATATTAACCAAAAACTGCAACAGTGGCTATATTAATAACAGAGAACTATACTCCAAAGAAAATTTACAGAGACAAAAAGGTACATTACATAATGATAAAAAGGTCAACACACCAAGATGAACGAGCAATCCTCAATGTGTACACACCTACAACAGAGCTTCGAAATACTCAAAGCAAAAACTGATAGAACTTAAAAGAAGAAACAGACAATTCCAGATTATACTGCAGTCTTCAAAATCCCTCTCTCAGCAATTGAAATACTAAACAGAAAATCAGCAAGGATGCAGAAAATCTGAATAACATCATCAATCAACAGGATCATGTGGACATTTACACAAACTCCATCCAACAGTAGAATACACATTCTTTTCAAGAAACCAAACATTCATCAAGATAGACCATTTTGGGTCATAAAGCAAACCTCAACAAATTTAGACAACCAGATCAAATACAAAACAAACTAGAAGTCATTTACAAGTCGTGAACATGAAACACTCCAAACACTAGGAAGTTAAGCAATATACTTCTAAATGACTTATGGGTTAGAGAGGAAGTCTTGAATAAATAAATTTTTAGAACCAAATGAAATGTAATTAAAATGTATTACAACTTGTGAGGAAAGTGCTGTGACGAAAATTTATAGAAAATAATGCTTACATTAGAAAAGTAAAAAAATCTCAAATTCTAAGCATCCGTCCCAAGAAACTACAGAGGAAAATACCACGAAAGCAGGTGGAAGAACAAATATAATAAAGGTCAATACAGGTATCAGTGAAATTAGGAAAAAAAGGTAACAGAGAAAAAACAGTGGTGTAAAGTGCTGCTTCTTTAAAAAGATCCAAAAAAAAAAAAAAAAGGATAAATAAGAAGACTGACAAAGATAAAAAGAGAATTGACACACTTCTAATATCAGGAATCTAACTGGAGATATAAGTACAGATTCTTCCATCATAAACAGTATATTAAAGGAATACTTGAAATAAAAACATTTAGATGAAATGGAACAATTCCTTAAAAAGGACAACTATGAAAATTCATCCAATATGAAATAGATATTCTGAACAGTTCTATACATATTAAATAAAATAAATACATAATTAAAAAGCATTCAAAAGAAAAATCTCCAGGCATACATGGCTCACTGGAGAATGCTACCAAACATTTATAAAACAAATGAAAGCAATTGTAGACACTATCTTCCACATTATAGAACACTCCCAATACATACTTGGAGGCCACTATCACCTAGACACCAAAACCAATGACAGTACGAAACAAAGATAAAAGACAAACAAAAAAGAACAAAAGAAAGGAAACTGCATATAATTACCACTCATGAAATTAGAGGAAGATTTCCTCAACAACATGCTAGCATATTAAATACTGTAACACAATATATAAAAGTAATTATACTCTACAACCACGTAGGGCTTATTTCAAGAACACAAAGCTGGTTCCACATTCAAAACTCAAATCAATGTAATATATCAACAAGCTACAGAAGAAAAAACACTATCAATTGGTAAAGAAGTAGTATATGGTAATATTCAACACCCATTCACAATAACAGAAAAAAAATAGCAAATTAGGAATATGGGAAACTTACTAAACTTGGTAAGAAAATTCTGTAAAGAAAAAAAAACTTATACTAACATCATACTGATGAAAAAGTGTTTTCCCACTATCAGAAACCAGACAAGGATATTCTTTCTTACTACTACTGATCAACATATTGGAAATCCTAGCTAGTAGACAAGAAAAGACAATACTAGGTATATATATGATGAGGAAAAAAAAGAACTGTCTATTTGCAAATGATACTTTTAAGTTTTATAACCCCAAGCATTCTACCAAAACAAATAAATGCCTACAGTTCAGCAAGGTTGCAAGATACCATAATGACATCCAAAATTTAATTACATTTCTGTATACTACCAAAACTTATGTGGAAATTGAAAGTTTAAAAGTCAATGCCATTTATAATAAAAGAAAAAACATTTAGATGCAAATCTTATAAAATTCATACAAGACCTATTATTGAAATCTATAAAACAGTGATGAAGTAAATCAAGCAATACTTAGAGACATCCTGTGTTCATAAATTGAAGAGTTAACACTGTAAAGATGCCAATCCTCAACTGATCTGATAATTTAACCCAATTTCTATAGAAATTCCATAGATTTTCTTCATAAAAATAGGCTTCTCCAAAACTTTATGTGAAGTTCAAAGTAATACAGAGTGCTAAATTAGGTTTAAATTTAAAAAAAATAGAAATCATTTTATACAGCTGGAGGATTTACACTTAATTACAACAATCAAGGAAACCAATCGTAAAGGACAAGAAAAAGTCTAAGTATCATCTCTTTAAAACCACATGAAGATTAAAAGAGTCTTAAAGAGTCTTAAATGGTGCAATAAAATGGGCTTGCATTCCTATGTGTATTTTTATGTCCTCAAATATAAAGGTGTTTGATGGGTCCAGCCTTTATAGTTCTCAAAAAAAATTAAGCTCCTTAAACAGAGACAATGTTTTAGAACAAAGAAGATGTTCATAAAAGTTTCCAAATCTGCCCTCAATTGTCTAACTCTCCTGACACTGGACAATGAATGCATATACACAACACATAAAAGTCTAGGTCCTTTACTGCTAAAACAAAACCCTCCTCCTGCCAAGTAAACTAGAGACTCCATGACAAAGTGCCAAAGGCTTGGCAAGGATATCTGGGGGGGAAAAAAGTGTTTGCTGTTCATTCTAAGTCTCCTTTCTTTAAAAAAAAAAAAAAAAAAAAAAGAATTCCTGAGATAATACTGCAGTGTAAATTAAGGAAAAATATGTAGCTGAAGGTTTTCCTATGTGCATATAATCACTGAGTCCCTCTCTGGATGAGTTCTCAGATGTAGAATAAGGCTCTAGACTGGGTAAATTTTCAGTATGACTCCTTAGATGACAAATGATATCTTGCAACAGAAGGGTTTCTCATAGGGAAGGAAACTGAGGAGTTTCTTTTTGGTATGAATGATCAGATTCTGAGTAAGAGGTTTCCTCAGTGGTTACATTCAAGAAATCTTTCCCCAACAGAAGGTCTTGGAGGTTGACTGACGACTGCCCACTCGTGAAGGGTCTTCCCACTTCCGTTGCACTGACAGGTTTTCTCCCAGTATGAATCCTCTGATGCTGAGTGAGGGAGGAGCTGCGACTAAAGGCTTTTCCACATGCACTGCACTCATAGGGCTTCTCTCCAGTGTGGATAATAGAGTGTCGGATGAGGTTTGTGCTCCAGCAGAAGGTTTTTCCACACTCCATGCATTCGTAGGGCTTCTCTCCACTGTGAATCCGCTGGTGCCTTGTGAGCCCTGAGCGGCGGTTGAAGGCCTTTCCACACTCCATGCACTCATAGGGCTTCTCTCCAGTGTGGATGCTAAAGTGTCGAATGAGGTCTGCACGATTGCTAAAGGCTTTCCCACACTCTTTGCACTCAAAGGGTTTTTCTCCAGTGTGGGCCCTTTTATGCAGGATGAAAGTAGAGCAGTGGGTGAAGGCCTTTCCACACTCACTGCACACATAGGGCTTCTCCCCAGTGTGAATTCTCTGATGCCTCTTGAGGTAGGACCTGTGGTTGAAGGCTTTCCCACACTCTAGGCACTCAAAGGGCTTCTCCCCAGTGTGGATGACATAGTGGTGAATGAGGGCTGCACTCTCACAGAAGGCTTTACCACACTCACTGCACTCATAGGGCTTCTCCCCAGTGTGAGTCTGCTGATGCCACATGAGGTATGATCTGTGTTTAAATACCTTGCCACACTCAAAGCATTCATAAGGATTCTCACCACTGTGGATTATGTAGTGACGAATGAAACCTGGCCTATCTCGGAAAGCTTTTCCACATTCTTTGCACACAAAGGGTTTTTCTCCAGTGTGGCTCCTGTTATGCAAGACAAAAGTGGAGCGATGGGTGAAGGCCTTTCCACATTCATTGCACTTATAAGGCTTCTCTCCACTGTGAATCCGTTGGTGTTGTGTAAGGTGTGACTTACGGTTGAAGGCCTTCCCACACTCCATACACTTATAGGGCTTCTCCCCTGTGTGGACCATGTGGTGTTGAAGGAGATAAGTGCTTTTACTAAATGTTTTCCCACACTCGGTGCACTCATAGGGCTTCACTCCAGAATGAATCCTCTCATGTCGAGCAAGGAGGCGTTTCTTGTTAAAAACTTTCTCACATTCATTGCATTTAAAGATATTTTCTTCCTGAATCATGGGATCTTTATCTGATCCACATGAGTCATGGTCACGGACAGCACTTCCCAGAGGGACTGGCTCCTGTATAATCCTTGAACGCACATTATTAGCTGTTCCTATGTTGCCATGTTCAGAGTTTGATTTCCCAGGGAGTTTCTCCTTCTGGGGGTTTATCTCTGATCTCCAGTGTCCTTCTTGCATTTCCAATGATCCATCCTGATCCTTAGTTTGGCCCACCTGGGAATCCCCTGGAACTCTTTGTGTTAGTTGTTCCTGGAGGGCGACTCCCTCAGACAAGGCTGGCTCATTAGTGGTAAATTCTATGATCTTGGGTTTTCCTTTGTCACCTGAAAGAAATCCAATACGTAAAAAGGTCTGTCTGTAATGCCAACGTAGAATAAAAATGAGCACTTCAGTGAAATGAAGAGGGGGAAGAAAGATGAAAATAGTATCTCTGTGTCTTGCTACCTCTAAATCCCAGGTAATAGTATCTTTCTTTCCTGGTCCTAGAACTGCTGACACCATGAAAGGGGAACCGGGGGAGTGATTAGGTTAGAGGACAAAGACACAGTCAATTCCAGACTGGATATTTATGCAAATAGGTAACTCATTAGGCTCCCAGAAAGTTCACACTTAAAAAATGACTCAGGGCAATGCTTGACTACATGTAATTAGAAGGTTGGTACTTTCAGGTATAAGATAGCAAGTAGGCTTCTGGAAAGAGATGGGGGAGGGGCAGGAGTCATGTAGGAAACCATTCAATCAATTGTGCTTATATAATGACAGTCAATAAAACTTTGGATACTCAAGGCAGGTAAAAATCTTAGGTTACCAATACTTTCTGCATGTATTGTTATACATCAATGACAGAAGGTTAACTAGTTCCCAAGGGTAAGGTAGCTAATGTATGCAATCCCTCCAAAAACTGTTTCTAAAAAATACCTGATGCAGACTTACTGGACATAACTTTACAACAACCATGCTAAAGAAGCTCAGAGAGCTAAAGTAAGATATGGAGAAGGTGAAGAAGACTATGTATAAACAAAGTGGAAATATCAACAAAAGCCAGAAACTTAAAAACAAACCAAAAAGAAAAGTGTAATAACTGAAATGAAAAATTCATTACGAGGATTCAAAGAAAGATTTTAGTAGGATGAAGAATCAGAATACTTAAATATAGGAAATGGAAATTACATCCAAAGAACAGAAAAAAAAATATGTAAGAAAATAGAACATACCCTAATGGGCCTGTAATACAGCACTAAAGGAACCGATATACTACTCATTGTGGGATTATCAAAAAGAGAAATGGTCAAAAAAAGTATTTGAATAAATGGCTGAAAATGTCCCCAATTAGATGAAAGACATCAATATAAACATCCAAAAAGATCAGCATGTTCCAAGAAAGATGAACTAAAATAGATTCACACCAATAAAAAACTTACAATCAAACTTTTGAAAGCCAAACATAAACAGAGTATCTTAACAGCAAGTTTGAGGCAACTCAAGAAATTCTCAGTAAGATTATCAGCAGAATTCTCATATGAAACTTGGGAGGCCAAAAGACAGGGTCAGTATATTCAAGGGTAAAAGAAAAAAAAAACTGTCAACCAAGAATCTTTTAAGAGTGAGGGGGAAATTTTTTTTAAATTTTTTTTTTTTTATTTATGATAGGCACACAGTGAGAGAGAGAGAGAGAGAGAGGCAGAGACACAGGCAGAGGGAGAAGCAGGCTCCATGCACCGGGAGCCCGACGTGGGATTCGATCCCGGGTCTCCAGGATCGCGCCCTGGGCCAAAGGCAGGCGCCAAACCGCTGCGCCACCCAGGGATCCCAGTGAGGGGGAAATTAAGACAGTACCATATGTAAAACAGGAGGAATTCTGTTATCACTAGAACTGCCCTGCAAAAAATTCTCAAGGAAATCCTGCAGGGTGAGATGAAAGACACTACACAGTAATTCAAAGGCATATAAAAAAACAAAGACCACAATAAAAGTAAATGCACAATTATAAAAATTTTAACTGCTTTATAATTCTACTTTTTTTTATGTGACTTAGGAGACTAATTTAAAAAACCTAAACTAATCTAAAAGCGAGTGTTATTTTAAGTGCAGGTTATAACTCCAGATGTTGTTTGCTACATAATTTGAAAGACTAATGCACTTAAAATAGTTACTAGTATAAGTTGAAGGGCACACAATATACATAGATATACTCATGCAACATGAACAACTCAGGAGGTGAGAACAGGAATGTAAAGGAGAATTTTTTTATGTGTTGAAGGTAGGCTAGTATAAAATCAAATTAGTGTTATAAACTTAAGATGCTAAATGTAATCCCCATGGTAACAACAAAAAAATAGCTCTAGAATATACACAAAAGGAAATGAGAAGAATTAAACATTTCACTACAAAAAATCAGCTAAGCAGCACCTGAGTGGCTCAGTGGTTTACACATTTGCCTTTGGCTCAGGTCATGATCCCAGGTCCTGGGACTGAACCCCTCGATGGGCTTCCTGCTCAGTGAGGAATTTGTTCCTCCCTTTCCCTCTGCCTCTCCCCCTCTCTCATGCGTGCTCTCTCTGAAAAAAATAAAATATTTTTAAAAAGGTCAGCTAAACACAAAACAGGAAGGAAGGAAATGAGAAACAAATCTATAATGTATATAGAAAGCAAATATCAAAATGATAGAAGTCTCCCCCTATCAGAAATTACTTTAAATGTAAATGGATTAAACTCTCAAATTGAAAAACAGAGACTGGGACACCTGGGTGGCTCAGCAGCTGAGTGTCTGCCTTTAGCTCAGGGCATGATCCCGGGATCCCAGGACTGAGTCCCACATTGGGCTTCCTGCATGGAGCCTGCTTCTCCCTCTGCCTATGTCTCTGCCTCTCTCTGTGTGTCTCTCATGAATAAATAAAAATCTTTTAAAAATAAAATATAAAATAAAATAAAATAAAATAAAATAAAATAAAATAAAATAAAAAACAGAGACTGGCATAATTGATAAATTACATGATCCAACCATATGCATCTACAAGATATTTACTATAGATCCAAAGGCACAAATAGATTAAAAGTGAAAGAAAGGAAAAAAAAAAAACATTCCATGTAAATACTAACCAAAAGAGAGCAGGGGTGGCTTTGTTAATATCAAACAAAATAGACTTAAAGTCAGAAAAGATTACAAAAAGCAATGAAGAATATTGTATTTTATTATTTTTTTAAAACCTTTAATTTTTTTTAAAAATTTATTTATGATAGTCACACACACAGAGAGAGAGAGAGGCAGAGACATAGGCAGAGGGAGAAGCAGGCTCCATGCACAGGGAGCCCGACGTGGGATTCGATCCGGGTCTCCAGGATCGCGCCCTGGGCCAAAGGCAGGCGCCAAACCGCTGCGCCACCCAGGGATCCCAAATATTGTATTTTAATAAAAGGTGTAATACATCAAAAAATTATAACAATTGTCAACATGTACTTAAGGACAGACTATCAAAATACATGAAGCAAAGAGTGACACAATGAAGGAAGAAAAACACAATCCTAAGGTAATAGATGGAAACTCCAATACCCCATTCTCAATAATGGATAGCACAACCAAACAAAATATAAGTAATGAAGTAGAAGACTTAACATAATAAACCAACCAGACATAACAGACATATACATAATATTCTACCCAACAACAACAGCATTTAAATTCTTCTCAAGGAGGGGGACGCCAGGGTGGCTCAGTGGTTGAGCGTTTGCCTTTGGCTCAGGGCATGATGACTTGATCCAGGGATCAAGTCCTGCAGCAGGTTCCCTGCGAGAAGCCTGCTTCTCCCTCTGCCTATGTCTCTGTACTCTCTGTGTCTCTCATGAATAAATAAAGTCTTAAAAAACAAAACAAAACAAAACTGGAGCCTTGAATAAATCTACTAAAAAAGGGACACCTGGGTGGCTCAGTGGTTTAGAGCCTGCTTTTGGTCCAGGGCGTGACCCTGGAGTCCTGGGATCGAGTCCCGGGATCGAGTCCCACGTTGGGCTCCCTGCATGGAGTCTGCTTCTCCCTCTGCCTATGTCTCTGCCTTTCTCTCTCTCTCTCTCTCTCTCTCTCTCTGTCTCTCTCTGTCTCTCATGAATAAATAAATAAATAAAATGTTCAAAAAAAAAAAACTTAGACAATGAAAACTATAAATCATTGCTAAAAGAAATTAAAGATGTAAATAAATGCAAATATATACCATGCTCTTGGATTGGAAGTCTTCATACTGCTAAAATATTGATACTGCACAATGATCCACAGATTCAATGCAATCCCTATCAAAATCCCAAAGACACTTTCTGCAGAAATAGAAAAATCCACGGTAACATCCATATGGTTTGTAGCTCAAACATCTTGAGAAAGAAGAACAAACCTAGATGACTCAAAATTCCTGATTTCAAAACTTCCTACAAAACTCCAGGACTCAAAAAACAAAACAAAGCTACAAAAATCAAAATAGTGTGGTACTGGCGTAAAGAAATATAGACCAAGGGAATATAATCAAGAACCCAGTAATGAATTCTAACATATATCATCAAATCATTTTTGACAAGGCTGCCAAGGCCACGTAACAGAGAAAAAGACAGTGTTTGTAAGAAATAGTGCTGGGGAAAACTAGATATCTACATGTCAAAGAATTCAACTGAACACTTATCTAACATCATATAAAAAAATGAACTCAGGGACACATGGGTGGCTCAGTGGTTGGGTCTGCCTTTGGATCAGGGCATGATCCTGGGTTCCTGGGATCAAGTCCCGCATTGGGCTCCCTGCATGGAGCTTGCTTCTCCCTCTGCCTATGTCTCTGTATCTCTCTCTCTCTCTGTCTCTATTGAATAAATAAGTAAAATCTTCAAAAAAAAAAAAAAAGAACTCAAATGGATCAAAGACTTAATTAAATGTAAGACTTCTAAAATATAAAATCCTTAGAAAACATAGAGCAAAACCTCTATGTCACTGGATTTGACTATGACTTCTG